AAAAAACTGAACGTCTGCCAACTGAAATGCTCCGTCGCCTTTGAGTGGTGATATGCCAGTGTAGTCCATCTGGAGGGACTAATCCGGTGCCTTGGCTTGTGCATCTCATGTAGGGGTCTTAATAATAATTAGAATAGGGGTTCCTTTAAAGGGATCCTTATCAAAGGATACTATAAGGGATCTATAATGGGCTTCTATATTAAGGGCCAATTGGAATAGGGTTTGGGGGTGCTAAAATAAGGCCCCCCCCCCCAAAAAAAAACAGACTACAGCTAATACTTTAGGCCTCTATCTTTTAGGGAGTAGCGTTTAGGGTTCCACTAAGGTGTTCCCTTCAGGGCTCGATGACGGATTTGAGGTTTAGGGTTCAACATAGCCGCTTAATGATTGTGGAATGGCATGAAGAACCCTAAGGTGCTGAAGTACTGGGTATCCAGCCTTTCTACTATCTACAGTATCTGAGCTTGGGGATTATGGTTTGCTACTTAGCGTTGAAGCTTTAGCTAAACCCGGTTTGGGGTTTTTAATGCGCCCAGGTCTAGCGAGGCCTACGGGACGCGCTTGGGGGATCGCAGGTCAAAAGCTACACATAACCCTTAACCCCCAGACCCTATGACCCTATAGCCCCTTTCCCTTAAACCCCTAAACCCCTATTTGTCCCAAACCCTATAAAACAGACCCTATAATTAACCTAAACCCATCTAAACCCTACAAACAAACCCTATAATTACCTTACCCTAAACCCATCTAAACCATGTAAAAGCCCGAAACTTCAGAGAGTCGGGGCGCCTTAAGCTGGACATCTGGATCAGGACCCACCACTCAGGCTGCTGTGTCTTCTGAACTTCGAAACGCTCCTCCAGGTCGGCTTTCCTAGGATTCCCAGTTTAGGGTTTAGGGTTTAGGGGTTTAGGATTTAGGGCCAGGACTGAAATGGGATCCCTTTGGTGGCATTGGGTAGTTTCATTAAGGAACCCAAAACCACAAAAAGCGTGAACACAAAAAACACATAGCACTGGGAGACCTAGCTTCGCCTGGATAAGCCAATGAATCGGCTTCTCGTGGCCACCATGGAACATCACCTAGGTTCCCTAGTAGGCCCCAAATAACAAGGGTACCCTTTTTCCTACTGCTTGGTTTTATTAAGGGAGCCTAAAAAGAAAAAGGGCAAAAGGGTACTACTGGGGGACCTAGTCACAGCAAAGTGAAGGCCGAATCGTATGCTCGTCTCTGGGTTCTCGGCTAGCATCTTTGCCATGGTTTCGACAGCTGCTTTGCAGCAAGCCGTATCGAAGACGCGCATTCCCAGGACGTTTTGCTTCAGCAGGTCGGCGTTCGCATCGCAGAGCAGGCGCAGGCCGTCGGCGTTGTTGCCAAGGCTGGCCCAGTGCGCGGGGGTCGCCCGAATCGTGTCAGCACGATGCACGCTGGCTCGGGCAGCAATCAAGGTCTCCATAACCTCCAGGCTAGTCGGTTTAGGGTTTAGGGTTTAGGGTTTATGGTAGTCTCGATACTACATCGACTTCGAATGACTACGTAAAGTTGTAACTGGGGTCCTTCCGTTATGAACTTTTAGTGTCGCGAATCTGGACGTAGGAGCATACCCTGATCATACCAAGCATCCTTCCGGAATCTAGGGTGCATTCCTTTAGTCTGCTAGGGATCTTGAACAAGCCCTACCTGGTTGTGGTGCAAATGAGCTGCCAGCGCGAGCACCGGCACACGCCCAGGGAGGATAGAGCCCGTCGCCTTTGTCACCTGATCCTTGCGTTGCTTATACCCAGACCTTCCGAAATCCCTTAATTAAGGAATAGACCGTCAATCATAATAGGATCGCTAATACGATCTACGGTGATTCTACTCTTAATTCAGGAATTTTGGAAGGCCTGCCTAATCTATTCGGGCAAGCAATCTACCACAAGCCATCAAGTTCAAGCCACCCCGTAAACGAAGAGGTATATCAAGAAGCATTAAAAGCTGTAGAGCCCTCAACAACAAAAGGTTACTCCCTCAGCACCTACTCTCTTCTTCAACAACCAGGTCCAAAAAGTTCAAACTTCTTGGGATAGACCTCATATATAAGGCCGAAAAGTTTAAAGTTCTCCCTTTGGCTATCTAAGCCCAAGGATCATTGGGATCTGCCCTCCTCTGCAAAAGCCCTTGGACAAGGGCGACGTCGCCTCTGATGGCGGCATAGCACAGGGGGGTCCAACCCGCTGAGTCCCGTTCCAGAACTGTTCGGAAGCCATTTTGATGCAAGAACCTGGGATATTCGCCAGAGGCGATTCAGAGCTGAGGGGTTTGGTTGGAGGTTCATGGGTAGTTACAAATGGGATTATAAGTAGGGCAACCATAATTATAACCCAGATTAGAGGGGACTTATAACCATATCTCATTCTAACGAGCATTTCCTCAGCCTTAGAGACATTGCCGTAGCCTCGCCAACCCCGACCCTCCCTTAAGGAGTGCGTGGCTTTGGGTTTAGGGTTTAGGGTCTAGCTCGGGGTTTAGAAGCAGACATTACAGTTTTTCAGTGTCCGTCGATGCTGGGCCTGCTGTACGTGAAAACATAACCAAAATGCACCAACGGCAGCCGAGGAACCATTCCACGGCAAAAGCTGCAGCGTCCTCAAAAGGATCGAGCACTGTCACGAAGCCGGGAATCAAGCCATCAACAGGCTCCACAGGAAGGCCGTTGAAAATGCATGCCCCCTGCCGGTTCAGTAAGAACCTGTAGCCATGAAAATCGCGGCGCTCCAAGAAGAACAACAGCTTGTTCCACACCATTTGCATAAGAGCACTCCCAACTGCGGCTTTATCAGACTCGCGGCTCCAGCTTCCATGCCCGGGCGCATCCAGAAAACCTGAAATGTCTAAGTACAATGCCTGTTGCTTCGAACACTCCACGACGATGGTGTATCCCCCCTTCCTCGCCGAGAGCTCCCGCGCATGCCGTTCAGTTCGGCACCATCCTCGAGCAGGCCGGATCAAAACATGAGATTGACCAACACAACATAAACATGAAGTATCGTGAACGAAAGTTTAGGGTTT